TCCCTCTCTCTCTCTCTCTCTCTCTCTCTCTCTCTCTCTCAGACTTTCCTTACAGCTCTCATTGCCTCTGCATTGATTCCTGGTCTCCTCCCTACATTTATTGGGAGGTAGCAGACAGTCCTGGCTGAGACACTCATGCCCTGGCACGGTGGCTGCTAGAGAATGTTGTTGCTAACCCACCAGTTTTTTGTCCTTCTGGGGAGGTCAAGACCAGGCCCCCACTTGGCTTAAAGGGACATTTTCAGATTTTTCTTTCTGTCACTTGGGGTGTCTGCCTTTGATATTCCCCTAATAAACTCAACTTTATCTGACTGCTGTGATTGTGGTGGGGAGAGGAGCTAGAGATGGGACTCCTCTATTCCACAGAAATCTGATGTGTGGAATTATTATTTTAACATAAAACTTTCAGGTGTAGCTGCTTGATCAAAACCTAGGTGGCTTATCAGCCCAAGCCCCGTATTTGGACTTTGAGCTGAATAATTTATCCTGGGAACCATTTGGTCATTCAGCAGACATTTGCCAAGTGCTTACTTTGTAGGTATGTTATGCTCCAATAAAAGATACAGCGTTGAATCAGGCGTGATGCTTACAATCTATTGTAATACAAGCGTTCACAATTTAACCACAATCCAGGGTTTTAAAACCAGATTTTATAAGGTGTAAGCCAAATGTCTACTTTTTAAGCAAATAGGTTAAACAAGAGTCTAAAACTTTTCATTCTAGAATCCAAAGTTTGCTATAAACTTGTGCCAGCCCTCTTCAAATGCTTATGCAGTCACATAGAAGTCATTTAGTACTGCCCTTTTCCTTTTCTCAGCCCTCTCATTGTACCCTGCTAACACTATAGCTCTGTGCGTATGAAGTGTTCTCCAGTTTAGTATCTGCATCCTACGATACATACATGGGCGCTTTTTCTTGTAGTGCACAAGGTGGGTAATCAGTCAATACCAATTGAACTGACTTATAGGCCCAGCCGGCGTGGCCCAGCAGTTGAGCATTGACCGATGATCCAGGAGCTCGAGGTTCGATCTAGGTCAGGGCACATGCTCGTGTTGCAGGCTTGATCCCCAACAGGGGGCGTGCAGGATGCAGCCGATCAGTCACTCTCTCATTGATGTTTCTCGCTCTCTTTCCTCCCTTCCACTCTCTGACATCAATAAAAACATTTTTTAAAAAAAAAAAGGAATTTTACAATGGAGACAGAACTGGCATCATTTGCTTTGGTAAGTGCTGTTTCTTGAACATCTTGTTTGAGCTCGTCTGTAGAGTATTTTTAAGTCTCTTGAGTTCATTACTCATAGTTTCTACCCTATCCAGGATAAAGAATTAAATACTTCTAAAGTTCAAGTTTTAGGTTATCTGGTGCTCTGTAGTCAATTTAACAGATATTTATTGAGTTCCTACTATATGCAAGGACTATAATGTGAGATAATAATAGGGGCAAAAGTGATAATAATCTAAAAGCCAGAAAAGCTCTTCAATGAGATTACATGTGGAAATGCTTGATAAATTTTTTATGGTCCTGTAGATATTAATCGGTCAGTTTGTTAATGTCGAAGTAGTATTTCTAAAACAGTTAGTGTCCTGAATAATACCTGTTGCTAATGGTAACCTGCTGCTTGTAAAGAAAGCAGCTGGTGACATTTGATATGGGAGACAAGTGAAGCTGTCCTCCTCTAGTAGTAGTAACTCTTTCGTTTTACCTGGCACTTAAAGGTGTCAGTGCTTTTCTGTGTTCTCCCCCCATTTATAAAATGAGGCCCTAGCTCGATCAAGGATACATAGTAATATTGTCTATAATTTATTGAGTGTTACCATGTGCTAGATGTGCTAAGTGCTTTATATACTTTATTTTATTTAAGCTTCAAGCCCTAAGAAGTAGGCATTCTTATCTCCACATAATAGGTTTTTGGTGTGTTTTTTTATTGGAGGTTTTTTTTTTTAAATTTTTTATTGATTTTAGAGAGAGAAGAAAGGAGAGGGAGCAAGAGCTAGAAATATCAATGATGAGAGAGAGTCATTGATCAATTGCCTCGTACACACCCCCACTGGGGATCGAGCTCACAACCCGGGCATGTGCCCCAACCAGGAATCAAACCTCGATCTCCTGGATCATAGGTTGATACTCAATCATTGAGCCATGCTGGCTGGGCTCCACATAATGGGTTTAAAACAAGTTTAGAGAGGCTGAAACTTGTCCAAAGTCACACAATATAAGTGAAGTTGCTGAGATTTGAACCTATACCTACCTGACTCAGACTGCTCTAACCATTCTACTTCTGAAGGTGGTATAACCAGATCTAAAACTTACTTTCTCATCTAGTCCAGAACTGTGTCACTATACTCACATTAGATACTCTTAAGGCTATTACACACCTATATTTGTCTTATATGCCTTCTCACCATCCTTTTGTAAAGAAGGCTTCATGGGTTTTTCTTTCTGTGCCTGGCCAACACTGTTTTCATTGATGTCTATATTGTCTAGTTTCACTTTTCCCAGCTTCCTTTCTCTGAAGGTTTAATAATATGTTGTCTTTTCTGGAAGTCATGGCTAAGGAATTTAATCAACTCCAGTACTTCCTCTAGTTATCTCTGGGTTAGAGATGCATCTGGAGCCAAAAGAAGCTGTTAATATCCTCTTCTGAAAGACCGTATTTGATCAGGCTCCAGAAACTGGGATTTTTGCCTCAAGTCATACACATCTTTGCTCACAGGTCATTGCAGTCTATAAATAGTGTTATGCTAAACCATTTATTTCATTCCCAGTGTGTCACTTCTTCAACTTAAGCAGTTAAGAGTTCTGATTATAGGCATACCTCATTTTGTTGCACATCACAAATGTTGCAATTTTTTTATAAATTGAAAACAAGACTTCCCACCAGCAAAAAGATTGTGACTCACTTTATTGTGATACTGGGGTTGGTCTGGAACCAAAATGGCAGTATCTCTGGGGTATTCCTGTATTAACATTTCCCCTCACTGAGAACAATGGTTAATATTTTACATTTTAACCCATGTTTACTAAGTCATTCTTTTTTTTTAACAACAAAGATGTTGACAGGATAGTTGTTTTGATTTGAACTATTAAGGAGAATGGATTTCAGAGACATTAAATATACCCAGGTTCTATGAGTCCAAATTGTTTTCATTCATCTCACCATAATGAAAAGTTGGGCAGATTTCTTTTTCTCCTTCATACATTAGACATTGTAGGGAAGTTACCCACATTATGCTTCTCTTTCTTTCCTCATGAAATCCTAATGATTTCTGAAGAAGGAAAATTATGAAGGACTTTTCCTGTTTTCTAATTTGAGTGGGAAATGAACTAAATATGAAAAATCTCTGCTCTCCATAAGATCCTTCAAAGGAATTTCTTCTTTCCTGTACACTTGGAATTGTTTTCTACCTTGTAATTTGGTTTAATTAACATATTTATTGAAAAAACTAGAGAGTAAGGGGTTTGAACCATTGAGCTATTTGGCATAAATAGATTACAAGTCTCTTGATGATAAAGCAATTTTTAAAAAAATAGATATATTTTTATTGATTTCAGAGAGAGGAAGGGAGGGGGGGGAGAGAGAAACATCAGTAATGAGAGTCATTGATTGGCTGCCTCCTGCACGCCCCCTGCTGAGGATCAAGCCCCAAACCTGGGCATGTGCGCTGACCTAGAATGGAACCTTGATCTCCTGGATCATAGGTGGATGCTCAACCACTGAGCCACGCCAGCTGGGCATAAAGCAGTTTTCAGTCTGTTTTTAAAACTAAGCTTGAACTGGATTTCAGAAGCAGGCAAATTAGGGAACTGATTTTTTTGGCATTAGAAATGTACCAAATTCTGCCATCTTGCTCGTTTTAGATTCATTTAGTTCACTTAAAGTTCAAAGTCACTCACTAATTTGAACTTTCCACCTTTATTTCATAAAGCTAAAGCCATGTTCGTAAACATTGTTACTGTAGGCCACACTAAATGGATAGAAAGCCTATTATTTATCTCTAGGCTCCTTCCCAGCATTTGTATTGTTTCATACTGTTTGCCTGCAAAAAAAAAAAGCAACACATTTGCCCCCACTTGCCTCGCCCTGTGGAGAATGTGAGTTAGGGAACTTTGGCAGTTTGCAGACATTTGGTGCCATTAGTAACTGCAAAAATAAAGCTGCTTTCTGAAGGTAGTGTGGGTGTCAAGTAGATTATACAACAAGAAAATCAGGTTGGATTAAGACTCTCAAGTTTGTTTTCTGGTGAAAAGCTAGCCTGTACAAAGGTTGTCTGAAGGTTAGGATTAGCTCACAAAACTTAAAGGTGAGAAAGAATTTTAGAGAGAATCTAGCCCACTCCTGCCTTTTGAAAAATGAAGAAGCACGCGCAGACACGTTGTGTGACATGCCCATCCAGTTACCTGACAGCCAGGCCAACAATAACACCCAGGTCTCATTACTGAGTCAGTGCAGAGCCAGAGCCATTTGTGGTCTCCCAAGTTGGTTTTCTGTTTTCTGTGCCATGCTGGTCCTTTATTAGCCTCTCCCTGGATCTTATTGACAACTCGAGAGAGTAAAAGGGCAATTGTCACATGTAGCTAAGTGGTGTCCACTGGCATTAACATCTGCATGTGCAAAAAACAGGCAGGGTTTCATTTTGCACCTTGGGCTTGATACTACCAACTGTGAGGTTGGTATTGTGCCTTTCTGGTATTAAGGAAGGCTCTGCATTCCCTAACCATAACGTTCTTTTAAAAATTTTTGTGTGTGCCCTGGCTGGTGTGGCTCAGTTGGTTGAGGGTCGTCCTGTGCACCAGGAGGTTGCTGGTTGGACTCCTGGGGGCACATGCCTGGGTTTGGGGCTCTGTCCCTGGTAGGGGTGTGCAAGAGGCACCAGATCAATGTTGCACTCTCTCATGTTTCTCTCCCTTTCTCTAAAACTATTCTTAAAAAAATATTTGTAAAACAACTTTCAGACTTGTAGAAAAGTTGCAATAGTACAAAAAATTTCTATGTATCATAAAACATTTTTGAACTGAGATTTACTTTTATTCTTAAATTTTAACTCATTCAATGTGACAGTCCCAGTGTGACTTACTTAGTAAGAGTAAAATGGAAAGTAAGTGCATTATAAGGTGAAATCCATTTTGTTGATATAATTTTTTTTTAAGTAAGATGTTTCAATTTAATAATAAGTAATTCAGCCCAGCCGGGCGTGGCTCAGTGGTTAAGCATCGACCTAGGATCCAGGCGATCAGGGTTCGATTCCGGGTCAGGGCACATGCCCGGGTTGCGGGCTGCAGTCGATCAATGACTCTCTCATCATTGATGTTTCTATATCTCTCTCTCCCTCTCTCTTCCTCTCTCTGAAAGCAATAAAGATATATTTTAAAAAAAAAAAAAAAGTAATTCAGTTTGGCTTTGACAAGCCTTTTACCTAAGAAGTTCATTAGCATTTAAAAAAATTTTTATTGAGTTTAGGAAGGGAGGGAGAGAGACATTGATTTGTTGTTTCACTTATTTATGCATTCATTGGTTGCTGCTTGTATGTGCTCTGTCTGGGGGTAGAACCCACAACCTTGGTTTATGGGGACAGTGCTCTAACCAACTGAGCACCCTGCCAGGGCCTGTTAATTAGCATTAAATACATTGTATGTCAGCATTAAATGCATTGTATGTCAGTCCTGGCGGGGTAGTTCACCTTTACCTTCCTCACTTCTAAGCTCCAAGGACCCTTCCTTTACCTCTATAACTTGTTTCCTAAACCCATTTCTTCCATGAATTACTTCTACTTCTGTGATTGTCCGAGTAAATGTTCTGTTGTAGTTTGAGTTTTGGCTTTGAATTCTTTCCTAGCCAGAACTCAAGTACTGGGGTTGCCTAACCCAGGTGGAGCTGACCCCTCCTGTGTTACACCTGTGCTGTTCCACTGCCCCCATCAGGTGTGAATTTCAGAGGGCACACACTGCAGTGTGAAAAGTGGTTCCCTTTACAGTTTCCTTTAACCTTTTCAAAAAACCTTTCTGATTATGTTCAGGAGAAAGTTGGTTTGACACTTGGCACCTAACACTTAGCTAATCCCTTTAAACCAACAGTGGGGTCAGAGCTTTTAACAAACAATACGTACAATTTAATTGTTCTTAGGTTTTCTTTTAGTTCCACTGTACTCTTCTATAGCAAGGAATGATGAGTTTCTATTGGTGGTACTGATTCAAAATTTCTTCTCAAACTTGTTTAATTGCTTGAATATGCATAGAATACATTTGAAAGGAAATACAAAAAACGTGATACTTGCTGCCTCCAGGAACTTTTTCTGGATGGCTGGGGCAACTGGGATAAGAGGGAAAATTTTAACCTTATTATACTCTTCTGCATGAAATTTTAATTTTGTGACCCCAAATGGAGACAAACTTGGTTAATGAGAAAACGATAACGCAGATGGTAGGGAGAATGTGGCAAAAACCATGATGATCCCAAGAGAATGAATAAAACTACGCAAACTAACAGGAGGAAAAAACAAACTTCTAGGGGCAACAGGCATGGGGTGACCGAGCGCCGCGCATCGCCTCAGCGAGATGAGGCCTCTGTGGCTAGGGGATCCTTCCGCGCATGCGCGCGGGCTCACCTCGGCCATTTCTGCGACTGGACGCCATCCCCCCTGAGAGCGAGCGAAAGTGCGCGCCCGCCCGCCAGAGCACGCGCACGCGCA